TATGTGACAGTAAATATTTCGAATGTTGGATCAAATCAAGTACTTATTCTTCCTAAATTTTAGGGGGGCATTTTTAGGACCAACATCAAGCACCTTTCTATGCGGAATCCACCTGCATCTCATACTAAAACAAGCTGTTACCTAATATGAAGGAGAACACAGCCCAGCATCCATCCCTCGGAAAGCAAGCGCAAGTCCGTGTAGGACGAGATTATGTTCAATGAGGACAAACTGCCCCCAGAGGAGGATATTCCCTGCAACATTTGCCTTCTGCTGAAAAAGAGACTTTCTCTTATAACTACTTTTTACCTTTGACCTTTAGATAGTTTTCCCCAGACTGGCATAATCAACTCAGTGGGGTGGGTTTTGTTTGTTAATTAAAAAGCAGCAAGTGAAGTTTTCTTCCCCCTGCACTTCTTCTACATGTTCCTAGCGAACCCCGGGAGTCCAAGGAAGCTTTGGCTACCATGGAAACAAGAGCCTGGCCATCCACCGCGCAGCTCCGGGAACCCTGGCAAGCGCCGGGAGAGCAAGCCTCAGGACCGCCCGAAATGCCAAGTGGGCAGTCACTGCCGACACCTGGAGTTGTTTCTCACGAACGTGCATGGTCTTCCTCTGAGGGCAGAGCCAGGTACAGATGGATTCCGGGCCAGGGACGAGAGAGGCAGGCTGGCTGCAAGCTGCCTCAGGACACTCGTAACCACCAAATGGTATTGAAAAATAAAAACCAGACTCCTCACATTACAAACACATCACCAAGGGCTGGCCTCAGAGCAGGTGGCCGAACGAAGAACCACCAGCTACTCTGCCAAGACACAAAGAAACCCTTTGCCGGCATTTACATGTAAAACCAAGCCAAAGCCGTTTCCAGGTTCCGCTTTTACCCTAAGGCAGGAAGGACACAGTGCCACAGAAGGGAAAAATTGCGAATGGACTAACAACATGGAATGACTTGAATTATCGGCCATGTGGCAGGTGAACACAAAATGCCAGTTTTTAAAGAGGGGAAGTATGAAATCTATTTGAGAAATAGCAAAATCAAAACCAGTTTTCCTAGAAAAGGTAAAGTTTTGGTTAATGAGTAGAACTTACATGTGCCTTCTATATGGCCTGGACTTAAATTTACTCTTATTTTCTAAGAAGTACAATGACAGCAATAAAGCCAGCACAGTCTCCCTCCGTACACCTGATGCCGGAGACACAGGCCAGTGACGCGCACCGACGGATGGGGTAGGTCGTCTCTGCACCGTTTACAAGACAGCATGCATTGCTGGGCCACTGAAAACGTCGTCTTTTGAGTGTCTCCGCCCTTCATAAACCCCTCCATCTCACGAATCCCTTACGGCACACCTACAGTTGGTTTTACATCAAGGAAAACGGGGTCCCAGGACCCCGTCGGGGAGCCCCCAAGGCCCCTCCTCAGGCCCCTGTCCAGAGGCCCAAGGAAGGCGGGGTGCGGAGAGAGGGCAGGGCGGCCACTTCCCGTGCCCCTCCTGTCTCCGCCCAGGGAAGTGGCTTGGAGCAGAGACAGACTCTTACAGAAGGGGGAAGGGGGGACGGGAGCCTGCTCCCATGTTCCTCAACAGTCTTAAGTCAGACTCTACCTCTACAGACAAGACTGGCCCCTTAACCTGGAGGTTCCCCAATTTGCTGTGATGCAGAAACCCAGTTTGGTACCTAAATGACTAACCCGTCTGCCATCTGGAGAAGGCAGCAAATCAGAACCAGGGCTTCCTTGGGAATCCTGAGTGGACTATCCCTGTGGAATTTGTGAGGATGGTCCTGACACCATGAAAAGGACTTCTGAAAAACAGAAGCTGTGGTCACTGTGTATCCAAAGCTTCAAAATGTGAATTCCCTGGGACTCTCATTCCCTCTTCGGAACTCGTCATAAGGAAACAAAGGCACAGAAACCCTGAAGCACCCATAAATAAAGTGGCACACCCAGACACAGAATTCTGCTGCAGGACTCCCTGTTGACGTGGAAATATACCTGATATCAAGTGCAAAAGGCAGGTTATAGATCAAGTACACATTATGATCGTACTAAGTTTTTTTTTTTAAAGATACGGAAGCAGAGAAAGGATGTTATTTCTGGGTGATTTGTAGTTATAGTCTCTCTGCTTCTGTAGGACCTAAATTTATCTTAAATTTGAAAAGAAACAGTAGGAGCGCCTGGGTGGCTCCTGATTTCCGCTCAGGTCATGGTCTCAGGGTCATGAGATGGAGCCCCATGCTGGGCTCTGCAGAAGTCTGCCTGAGACTCTCTCTCCCTCTACACCCCCCACCCCACTGCACACACTCTCTCTTAAATAAATAAATCTTAAAAACACACACACACAGTAAATTACCTTTAAAAATAAATTTTCTAGTGGTCCTCTCCAAACGCAGAATAAGATCTTGGCGTGTGGCAGACGCTCGGGTGTTTTGCAATCACAAAGTCAAATCTCATGCGGCCCAGACGTGCCAACAGAGGCAGATCTGAAGCACCGACTATGGATGCAGAGCTACTGGCAGGTCCCCTTAATTAGTACAGATTCAAAGCTGATTACCAGGAACCATCTCGGAAGCTGCTCCCAGCCCGCCCTGGACGCCAGAGAGACATGCGCTGTGCTCTAACCCACCCCAGCAAGCAGCAGACCCGTCCCACAAGTTTTGGTGCATGGAGGCTATTCATTGCTATGGGACTGCTGGCCAGCTCCTCACGAGGCATCCCCCCCAGTTCCCAAACATAATCACACGGCTTCCCAGTCCACGGCACCTACTGCCCCCCACGCTGCCACTGGACTTGACTTAGTCTTCTCCCCACTGGACTTAAGTCAAGCACCCACCCCTAACAATGCCACCTGCTCTGTTCATCAGACTCTCCCACTTATGGGGACTCCCGGGTCAGCCTGACTACCAGGCCCTGTGACCGTCAAGAAGAAAGGAGTCAGTGGCTCTTTCCTCTTCTTTCCGGGTTAAGAGACAAGACAGAGAAGCCCTGCATCAAGGTCTGAAATAGGCCCACGTGGGGTTAAGAAACTCTAATCTTGTCCAGGTGATGTACAGCACCTTCCCTGCCTGCGACCCAGATAGCACTGGGCTCCCAAGGCCGAAAGTCTCATGTGTGTTTCTCAGCTGACAACACCAATAGGCACCCTTCCCACTCATTAATTTGTGGGTGCTGACGTCCCCGGGGCCTCTTAGCACTGCCCTCCAGGACTGGATTACCATCTGTGAGCCAGCAGAAGGCTGCCTCCAGCCAGTGCAGAGAACACTGCCAAAAACACAGCACCGGATCAAGCCCAGGCCTCCCTGAGCGAGCGAGAAGCCCAGAGTCCCCAGATGCCTGCAATGCAGGTGAGGGCCAACGGAGCCAAGCGTACCACCCTCCCCCCACCCCATACACACAGGGCAAATCCAAGCATAGGAAGCCCAATCTGGCCCTCAGCCTCCCCCTGCACCAACCTGGGAGGTGGGCAAGCTCCACCTGACGGTGACCCAAGTCAGATAATGAATGTCTGGAATCTTCGCAGCAGGAGGCCGCGGGGAAGACCACCGCCTTCCCCCAAAGGAGAGTACCTGGCCACTCAGCCTGTCGGAAGGTCGTGAGACTGAAGCCTCAGGGATGTAATTAAAACCAAACTACTCTGGGCACAATGCAGTTCTCAGCTACATAAATGGATGACATTTGCTTTCCATAAACTCAGCCCGACAGCAGGACCTGAGTGTGCTACCACAGACCGACACCACAGGTGCAAAATCAATGGGGTTAAACAGGTTAGGTTTTACATCTACTGGAGATAAATGGCCATTCATGAGAATAAGTCACTGCCCTTCATACAGTGCTTTCCACCCGAGGCCGCCCGACATCAGCTCCGTTGCACAAAGCCCCGCACCCCGCTCCGGCCAGCCCGGGGACTTGGATTCCGACAGCCCTGACACTGGACGGCAGCAGCACCCACCATGGGACCGTATTGGCTATGACGGATTTTCAGATGCATTAAAAATAAACGTAAGGAGGACAGAGTTTCCTTTTGGGAAGACACAGAAGTTCTGCAGACGGAGGGCGGCAATGGAGCACTACGTGGTAAATGCATACCTAACACCGCTTGGACTGTATGTACCCTTAAAGATGGTTCCGATGGTACATTTTATGTTAGGTGTATTTTGCCAAAATAAAAGTAAATAATGTAATATGAAGAACTTATCTAGAAATGACCTGGAAAGTCCAATCAGGAAGGTAGCGGGGTTTCTGCCCGTAGGTATTCAGTGCATCCCCAACAGTTCAGCCAACCACCGCTCTTTGATACATTTGAAGCCTACGGGCGCCAGGGCTGACGGGGCTGCAAATGCGTGCTGTGGTGTGGGGGCAGCAGGAGGCCCCAGGACACACTGGCCCCCCGCCCCAGCACTGCAGCAACCACACAGCCAGCCCAGCTCAGGGCCTGAGTCACGAGGGAGGCAGGCAGGCGGAGATACACAGACGCACACAGAGACGGAGAGACACAAACAGATGGAGACCAGCAGACAGAGGAGAAACAACAAGTCAGCAGGAGACAGTGAGTCAGCTGACCAAGGAGGAAGTTCGCGGTCCCTGATGTTCCCCGCAGGGCACAAACAAGACTTCACAGGCACCACTGTGACCTCTGCTAGGCAACCCCCCACCCCCACCCCCGCCGCACATTTCACCACCTCCAGGGCAGCGCCCACCCCCAATAAGGCCAGATGCACAAGCCCCTCCCAGCCTGACGCCCTTACCTGGGCTCCCCCAGCCCCAGGGAAAGGCATCTGTCTCCAGTTCTGGCCAGTCCCCACCAGCCATGGCTGAATCACTGCGACATTCTGCAGGACCCAGACTTCTCGGGCACTGCCTCTCACCTCCTCCTGCCCAAGCCCGTGCCGGCCCCCACCGCTGGTCCCCAACACCCTTAACACCAGGCCAGAGCCAGGGAACGTGCAGCCCTGTGGGAACCGGGCCCCTCCACTCCCAAAGCACCGGGAGGCATTTCACTCACCCAAGAGTCAAAGAGGGTCAAAGAGGGCTGCCTGGTGGAGGAGGAAACGGGTTCAGGAGAAGATCCAGGAAGTGGCTCCTTACACTGAAAAGTAACCCCCCCTCCCCGGAAAGATTTCACTTTAGTTTTTAAGGAACAAGTTCACTCCCAGTGTTGTTCTCCTTCAGATCCGAAATCTCCTGACCACGCAAACAATACCACCTGTCCCCACGGTCTTGCTCATGGTGAGGCCACTGTCCCCTCAGAAGGAGGCACCTCCAGTTTTAAAGAGACAATCATTAAGAGGTAGGGCTTCAAGCACCAAAGTCCACATTCCTGAAAAGCCTGCCGCTCATAAAATGAGTTAACACCTGAACGTATTACAGACTCAGCTGCCCAGGTCTCCCCTCCCCCAGCACAGGCCAAATGCTCACCAGCAACAAACAAAAACCACACGGATAAAGACCTCTTTACAAGAACAGCCAAAACAATTCCATCTGTTAACAAAAACTAACTGTTGGACTAAATAAAGGTTGCAAGTTCAAACACAATCTGCCTGTTGTAAATAGTGCCTCAGTTTATCAACGTAACAATAATGCTCTTTCAAAGACTGATAAAGTTCTCCACAAATACTCGCCCTCCAGCATTTTTAAGATACTTTGCAGGATAAATATTAGCTTGAGACTTGCCTACAGGAGAAGTGAAAGCTGCCAAAGAAGCAGTTCTAAAAAGAAAAAAAAACAGGAGCGGCTTCAGCCAGAGGGTAGCAAGCTGCCCCTGGCTGCCGGAGAGGAGGCGGGGACCTTGCCCTGCGCCGCGCACCGTGAGCGCTGTGCCAAGGCTGGGCAGCCAAGCCCTTGTTACCCCACCCGTCCTGGGGCCGCCCAGCCTAGGAGGGCAGGGCTGCAGCCCTGTCTCCCGATCGGGGGCACAGCGCCAGGCCCTCCGCAAACAAACCACCCGGCCTACACAAAGGCCTGGAAAATTGAGTTAATTAAAAGGAGAGATTTAAAGATAATTGTCGGGATGGAAAAGAACAAGGAACATCATAGCTTCAATCTGATTTAAACTTAATTTCCTGGAAGACAGTTAAGTAGCCTGGGTAGCCAAGGGCAGCGTGGCGAGGGGATAGCGGGCCCTGCCATCAGCAGCCAGCCCCCAAGCGCCAGGCTGGGTGGGCGTGCGGCCTGTTTGTGCCGCTAATTCTCTGACTGACTTCAGATGGCATTTACCCTTCACTTCACCTGCGGGGGTCTTTTTATGTGTAACACAGTAGCTCGCAACTCAATAGGAACTGGAAGCAAGCTCAGAACAAAGCCAGCCACTGCGCAGGTGACACGTGGGTGACACACAAGTCCTCCCCAGCAAGGGACCAGCTCAGGGAGATGGCTGGGCACAGGGCTCTGCAGAGCCAGGTGGGCGGGAGGGACTGAGCACCTGCGGAGCGTAGCCTCGCCCATCACAGGCCCCCGCCAAGACCTGGTTCGGGGACCTTGACTCCCACCCCCTTCATCTTCCAAGGCCGCGCTCTGTTGTCCTCACGCTCCTCTGCAACAAGCGGCGGCGTGCTGAACGTCCTCTCAGCCCCGAGCTAACGTGGAACGCACTTGAAACAAGTTATGCTTCCTCCCAGGACTGCAGATGGCGGGGTGGAGAGAGTCCCGAATCACCAACACGGTCCAGACTCCGACATTCAGCCCTCACCTCCCCGCCTGCAACGGGAACGACACCTCCAGACCATGTGGAGGACCTGGTAGTGCGAAGGATCACCACGGAGCCCAAACCCCGCACATTCTCAGGGAAGGGAGTGCCTTTCACCCCTAAGCCCTCACAGTGAAACAGTGGTCGCGCCCAATTACACTCGGATTAAGAGTGTCGAAAACTCCCTAGGTGAACCAAATCTGTGGTTCAACTACATCACACAGCATGTGGTGCTCAGGTACGCAGCCCTAAAAGAGAGAAATCACAAAAGAGAGCAGAGAACAATCTAACAGAATTTAAATTACCAAACATGGTCTAATTTTTGTGTGAATGGCTTCAAGAATAAATGAGTAATCTAACAATGACAATACCCCTGGTTTCATGAGAACTTTTACCTAGAGCTGTCACTAAAAGGGAAAAATTCTTTGTTGGAAAAACAAAAATTTACGTTAAGTGGTTCCACTCAGTTATCAGAAAGCAAGCACAGCCGACGATTTCGCTGTAAAGGAAGGTACGCGTGCCTAGGTTTAGAATACCATGGACCCTTTTGCACGGGACCTTCCAGCACGAAGACACTGACCACCGATGATGGAGGTCAGCTCCGTGACCAGGGCTACCCCCTCCGGGCCACCTGTGGAGTGGGCAGGCAACAGGGACACAAAGAAGCCACCTCTGGTCTAGGATAGGGTCCCTCCCTTCAAGGCACCTAAAACAGGGGTGTGGGGGTGGGTAGGGAAGAGCAAAGAGAAGCTGTGTCACCCAAAAGCACAGCCAGTGAGACCTGCCCCCCCCCAAGGGTGTCAGAGGCGGAGGAGGCCCCTGTGACAACGGAGGCCAGCAGGCAAGCCTAGACCGACGAAGGGGGTGGCCATGCTCAGAGGCCCAGGCACAGCACAGGGCATGGGCACAAGGTTTTAGACTTGTTATCAGCAGGAGCACGACAGCTGGCTCTCTCGGCTGGGACAGCACTATGTGCTGGGCATTTTCCGACAGCAAGACCTGCCCCTGCAGGGGCTCCGCCCAGGGAGACACTCAAGGGGCCAGTACAGCCCAGCGGCGGGTGAGCCTGGGAGTGAAGAGGTGCTATCCAGGAGGTCTGCAGCACAAGGGGGACAGCAGGGCCAGGCGCTCAGGGAGGGGGCCACCAGTGCAAAGGGAGAGGGGGCAGGAGCTTCGGCTGACCTGGGTCAGCCATGGGGGCTTCAAGGAACCAGTAAGAGAATGGGGCAAGTATCTGGAAATGTATCGGGCTGCAGGTCACGGAGCAACAGGGCTGGTAAGACCCTCGGGGATGGTCCAGCCCCACCTGAACCTCAGAGGAGAAATGGGACCCGAGAGGCCTGGGGACCCAGCATCGATGACAGTGACCCTGAGCAGAGCTGACGTTGACACATACTTCTTTCTCCTGCCTTCCCAGGAGACCCCTTGCTAAGACTTCCTCCGAGTTCCTGAAAACTGGCCATGTGTCTTGGACAGGTGTGAAGAACGAGTGTGTGTGCTCACCCACCAGTAACGAGAGGAACCTGCCAGCACCATGCAGGCAAGCTCTGTGTCCGGTGGCCGGGGACAGCACTCCTTTCACCTGCCGGCCCCGCTCTCCAGGCCGCCCCTGCCTTCCCCTACAGTCCAGCCTCCCCTGGCTGCACCCCCTTGAACTCATTCCTGCCCCTCAGTGCTCCCTGCTGCTGCGTCACCAGCACGAGGTATGGCCAGAACATTGTGTGTCCGGCTTGTCCCCTCCGGCTCCCCTCTGCTTCCGCCCCCCTCACCCCTCAAGCACGGCGAACTCACACTAGTCCTTGTCCGTCTGAGGCCCTGACTACAAACCATGGCCTCCCTCCGCATCAGCCACATTGCCCCTACAGATGTCACACGCGTCTGCTGTGTTCCCCTGGTTTCTGAACAAGCAGCCACAGGTCTGGGGGCCTGACCTAGCATCCTTTCCTCCTGAAGCTCCAAGGGTTACTGCTCACCTGGGCGTGTGGAAGTGGAACAAGAGGGATGAGACAGGAACTAGAGGTGGCAGCCCGACACCCAGTCCAGCAAGGATCTGCCAGCCCACCTCTGCCTCACACCCAATGCCAGGTGGCCCACAGGTGTTTCTGGCCAAGGGCATTAAACCACCCCAACCACCCCTGGGAGGTCTGTTATTTCACCCCAGCTGTATCCAAAACTCATCAGAAGTCACCACTACTCCTAACTCACAACCTCATCACCAAACAACACCCCACATCCTGGGCCTGTGCAGAGCCTCTCAGTAAGGAGTTAAGCCTAAGACGCCCCAAGGCTACCAAAGGGCCTCGGTGCTACTGGGAGAAGTGGGGGGGGGGGCACTCAGCCCTTCTCTTCCTGGGGACGCCAGCAGCAGCCTACCTTCAAGCAGGCCGGGGAAGAGCACAGCAAGATTCCCTGCCCGCCTGAAAGTTCTAGGCCCCTCCACAGCTTCCTGCCCAGCAGCCTGGGACAAAAGCAGGAGAGGGAGGGCAGAGCGGAGGGCAAACAAAGAAGCTCTTCACACTGCAGCCCAGAATGTCTCAACCCCTCCAGACATTCCAGGCATCAACATCAGCTTGGGCTCTGCCTGCACTTTAGGGTGGTCCCAGGGGCCCACCAGACAAGGGCACCAAAGGGGCTGCACTCAGGTCAGCCGCCCACGTGCGGGGCATCGGGGACCTTCCTGCGGTGGCCGCTCTGCAGCTGGAAGGCACAGGTGACAACGGAGACACAGGCCACATCCCACGTGCACTCCAGAAGACCAAAGGCACCACGTGTGCAAACCTAAGTCCCAGGGTTGGAGGACGGGTGGAAAAGGGACAGCCCCGAATACCAGTGCTTCACAGAGAGTGTCCGTGAGCCCAAGCCCTGCTCCTCTGCAGCACACACCCGTCACATGAACGACAAACTCAGACAGGATGTTTTCATGCTCAACAGTACGGACTTGCTCTAACAATGGCTGAAGCTGGAGCATCTGGGCAGCTGTCAGTTAAGCGTAGACTCTTGTCTTCGGCTCAGGTCATGATCTCAGGGTCGTGGGATCGAGCCCCGTGTCAGGCTCCAGGCTCAGGGGGTCGGGTGGGGTGGTGGTTCTGCTGGAGATTCTCTCTCTCCCTCTGCCCCCCCCCACGGCCCCTGCCCTCTCCCTTTCTCAAATAAATAAATCTTTAACAAAACCAATGCCTGAAGTCCTATTTTCTTCACTGGCTTTTAACTATACAAGCACTTTACCCTGAAATTCAATGAGGACAGTGACCTACGATGAGGTGACTGTCTATGAACCATGATCGGAGAGTCCCAGAAGAGAGACCACAGCCCCAGGGGAAGCTGGGCAGACAGGGTCCAGGCCTGGGGATGAGGGGGCAGGTGGTGCTTTCGCTGGGGG